CGGGGCTCGGGCCCCTCGGGCCGCTCGCGCTGCCGGCGCTCGAGCCGCGCGCCTAGCCCCCGCCGCAAGCCCGCCACCGACCTCAACGAGAACTGCTGCGCGCCCGCGTCGGACGAGGCCCCTTGCTGATCGTTCTGGACCTCTAAGCGCCGCTGAACTCGAGTGAAAGCTTTCCGAGCTTATTTCCTAACGGATTCTCGTCGTAATAGTTGCCGTTTTAGCGTGTATCCGATGTGTTTCGACAACTTTGATGCTATCGTTTGTGTAGATGGTGTTGGTGCTCAACCGTTTGTCGTAGTGAAGATGATGATATTTACGTTCGATGAACATGTGATAGACCACCGCTAGGCAGTAGGAGCTGGCCGCGCAGCCGACGGTCCATTCAGAGTTGTCGACTGATATGTGTTAGTTCTCCAGTCTTTGTCGTCGTTTCTTGACTCGATATTACTTTAATCACATTCCTGATCATGACCTTTGCACGTCTTAAGATATACCTAATGTAACAAAAGTTGTAAGTTTTAAAATCTCAAAAATATAGCAAAATTTGTAAATCTTTGAACAGGAGTGATAACTGTATTAGTGTTCAACATTTGTAGCCCGTTGAGTGTAGGCGCGTATAACTGGCTATTTTATTTACGTAATTGTAGTTTTAAGGTATGTTGAAGTCTGCGCTCAACGAGCTCATCGCGAATGTCAACATTAGAGGGTATTTGAAAGCGAAGAAATTTTTAAGTAAAATTTAGCCTTAACTACCTATTTGTTTTAGGATGACTGAAATAAGATTTCTGACATGCTTAGTTCAATGTTAACTTTGCAACAAAATAACGAATAACATTTATTCGTACCGAAGTACGTAACAAAACGCAAGGTTTCATTGTAACCAAAGCATTCAGAAACTATATTTTAGTCAGTATTCCGAGACTGATAGAATTTTTAGCATTAATTTATTACTTTTAATTTTGTTTTAATTCCTTTTACATATGTGCGTTCTATCAGTCTTTGCGCTGTGTACACCCAGGTAGACTTTAAAATCGAAATAAATATTTGTTTGAAAATTAATTAAATAAATTATGAATTGTGATTAGCTTCAATGGTTTGCTACAGTTTGACCTGCGTGTATATATGCGACCTTTTAGGAACGTTTCCCTAAAACTGGTGAAAAGAAAAAAAAGTAAATGAGATTCTAAAAGTATGATGTATGTAATTCCCAAATTACAATGTGTTCATTGTATACCTAGAGTTTGCTAGATTAGCGCGTATAAGCTCGTCATGTCTTCGAGTCGTGTTCAAAGTAAAGAATCGATAAAATTCGATGTATATAATCTTAGTAAATGTAATCGATTTTGATTAGTATCGATGATGTTTCCATTCCTTTATAAGAAAAACATTAACAATAATCTCGATTATGAATTATTCATTTTCCAGTGTATTTTTTGGAAATATTAAATTAGTTGTTTATTATCTTGAAGATACATACGATTTTAATTGTAATGATTAAATTATTTTCAGTGTAACAATAAATCGGTTGACACGTCAGATTATTTGATTACGATTCCCTGCGTCGACTGTTGACTTTTATATTATTTTATTATACGATAGATGGCAGTTCTTTTTTTAAATCTGTATTTAATTTTTTTACTTTAATTTGTACTCTACTCGAACAAAATACAACAGAATGTGACATTGTTTTTTTAATTTTGTTTTCTTATTTCAAATTAACGAATAAGTAATTTTATAATACCTAATTTTATAGTTTTTTCAGAACAGAATTTCAATTATTCCAGAATGTTAGCCATTCTACGAAAAAATATTCTACGTATAGTACCAATACGTAAAAAGTAGTTTTTACAATATACTCCCACATACAATGAATATTTAATTGAAAGTAAAAAATTAGTTTAGTTAAAAGTAAAAATTAGTCTTACAGACTATTTACTTGGTTTAGTAACCATATAAGGTTAAAAATATTTCTCAAATACAAGCTAAATATTGCAAAAAGTAGTTTTGGAGATGCCGGGGATCGAACCCGGGGCCTTTCACATGCAAAGCGAACGCTCTACCACTGAGCTACATCCCCGTGTGTCTAAAATGTCCAAATACGGCACCATGTGCGTTGTATTCACTACCTATTTAATTTTTTTTTACCGATTCGTAATAAACTCATGTATATAGTTTGATGAAATATACGCTGTGTACCTGTGTACCCTTATATAAAGCATCATGACTCATATGAAAAGGTAGGGTCTTAAATTTTATTTAAGAGTTACCTATCTTTGATAAGAAAACCAATTTAACTCGTCGAGTACCGGTTTTGTAGACACAATTATAGAACAATAGGTTGCGGTCACCGGTGACCGCTTGGTGTTTGACAGTTTAAATTAGATCCTAATTAATTTTTATTTTTTTATCTCATTCGTTAAACGTACCTACATAAAATGTCCAGGTATACAAAATTAACGAAATGAGATTTACTATATCGAAAGTGGTTGTCATTGATCCAAGCTTTTTGTGCAAATGATAAGCATTAAATCTACTACCTACCTATTCTGGACAGTAACAAACAACAAACGTAAAAATACATATTTATGTGCCAACACAGTAAAAACAATGTAGTCTATCTTGAATATACTTCCATAGTTCTTGTCAGCGAATGCGATTACGAAATATGTGGTAAGTATGTAAGACTTTAGTAAAAAACGTTCAACTATGCTTCGGAATCTTAAGTGATCATGTTATAAGATAAACTTATAATCAGACTTGCAAATAACATAACCATTTACTAACAAATGTCTTCTGTCGTAAATTCCGACATGAGCTGTCTACTTACGTGCAGAATTAAATTAGGCTTGCTGTCCACGACGCGTTATTTGACGAATGCATGCAACCTACAAATTATGTACGGTAGGCAGTTTTGTATGAGGAGTGACGCAACATTGCTGCTTTAACGTTTTTGTTATTTCTAAGCAAGGTGCAAACATTTGTCATTTGAGCACTGCGTCAAATGCCCATAGCATTTATTTGTAGGTTGCATGCGTTCGTCAAATGACGCGTCGTGAATAGTAGCCAATTCAAAATACATTTATGCGGTAGGCTCGTGGAATTAGCAAACTAGACCAATAAAGATAGGCAATTGTTGAATAAGAAAAACAATAAGCCTTGTTTGGGCTTTTTCATAATACAGGAACCGATGGGCGGTCAGGTAGAAGTAAGCTACTAGTGGTTCTCATTAGTTCGAGTAGTAGTGTAATCTCAGGGTGACTTTTTGATGCGAATTTGCTTTTCAAACTTTAATTTATATTCATTACAGTACAATTATAGGTATTGATCAACCGAAAGTTCAAATACTGAGATATCTTTTATCGCTTGCTCTGGCGTTACCTACGTGATTATAATTTTGTTATAGTAGTCAATAGCAAACTATCTCAAAAGTGAGTGCATATTTTTAAACACAAAGCTATCGTATCTCTTTAGCTTTACCATACAAGTATGTAATAGGATTCTAGTATTGTAAATGAGAAACTCGTGGTAGTGGTTTTAAACGTAATGTTTTGCAGCCTCGCTATTCTAGGGTCTTTATCTAAAATCTCCCAAGATCCAGGGTTTCAACTAGGTAATAGCACGTGCCATTTTAGTCAGCTCACTTAATCTCTATTTACCGATCAGATTGACGGTGCAATGTGGAGCAATGAGGGAGACGTGTTGTTCTTCGGAATATCTTTAATTGAGTGTCCAATAACTAACTTACACTACTTATAGGGCGAGGTGTCACACACACTACACCTCCCCCGTTTTTTTGGAAAAAAAAATATTCTAATACATTTTTTTTTTAGATACAACTATAAAATTATATATTATTTATATAAAATTACTCGCACTGTTGACAATTTTTATAAAATATTTATTAAAAATCTGTTATCTATTTATTCCTCTTACATAATTATTCTTCATATTATTATACTCATTTTCCTTTATCCTAAACCTTTATGTCTTTTATAACTAGGTACACATGATATACTTTATTTAAAACTTTTCACTATCATCGTAAGGTACATAATAACATTATACACATGTAAGCACATTACATTTATACAGGACTCTCCGGTACCTGTTCATTAATTATTTATTTTAATATATTTTATCATCATTCTTCATTTCATCATTATACTTGTGCTTACTATCATTCACTTCTATATTCATTATAAATTTAGTGTCAATATTTAAGGTTCTTTTAACCTCCAATAATTTTCACAGAGAGAGCTCGTCTACACCATGATCAAACTAAGGACATGAACACTAAACTGTACCTTACCATGTGTACCTATTATATTTATTATTAACTTATCCTTCAACTATCAAACCTAACATAAACACAATCTAATTGAATTGCTTGGTCTACAAAATATTACGTTGTCTTTAGGTGATCAGCCCTCAGTCATACGCCAAAACTTGTGTACCAAGTTATTCCAAACTACCTAAAAACCAAACTTACATACTTATACAAACAATGAACACATTCCAAAGCCTAGCTAATATCAAATTTCATTCATCTAATTTATTTATTTCATAAGACAAAACCAAAGTGTAGTTGTTATTGTTAATCGGTGTCAAGTAACATGATTCTTTCAATACAATCTGACACTCGGTATAACATCATTTATCTATATGGGCATGGAAACATTCCTATAATCTGATTATTGTTAGCGAAGTACAAAATTAAACAAAAAAAATCTAAATTACAACAAAAAATTGCAAGATTTAACATTAGTTCATTCAAAATTATATTAAGCACAAAATGATTCAATACAAAAACTAATAATATTGTCAACAGGCGTGAACTATATCTAGTGTACACTTATATTATAAATAAAATGTTTAAAAATTATGTAAAATAGCTAAAATTACCTAATATACGTTGGGCCCTTATTAAAATTATGTTTAACTTATCTACTACTAGTTCTATATATTGGTGTCCATTTTCACTTTTTAACTACACTATACTAATACACTTAACATTTAAACACAAAGTACTTTCGAGTCCGGTTACATCGCGTACCCAGGGTAGCGGAGATTCTCTCAGACGCTACCTGGTCGCCAACATCTCCCGGCTCCATCCTCCAGGACACCAACCGCTCCCGGCAGGTCCACATCAGGCTGCATCGACACCCGGCAGCCAGCAAAAATATCCACATTTTGTTTTTTTTTTTAGGTCACAATGCACTTTTTTAGTCCACACTTAAATTACTTAATTATTTTTAACAAATGCAAATATCCAACATTGTACTCGTGCGCAGCGCTGCCCGCGTGGCAGCACTGGCAGGGTCGCCATGCAATGTGGAGCAATGAGGGAGACGTGTTGTTCTTCGGAATATCTTTAATTGAGTGTCCAATAACTAACTTACACTACTTATAGGGCGAGGTGTCACACACACTACAACGGGGAAATCATACTGGTTTACGACATACTGAATATTTACATTATGTATAACAAAAAGGATTCTGATTGTAAATTGAGATAATTCAAAGGTAAGTACCTTTTTTTAATCCTTACGATTCCTTAGCTTGTTGTTACAGGTAAATAAAAGACAAGCGTGGATTAAAATTAATATTTATTAAACATTTCTAAAATACTTTTTTTTTAATAAATCATAACAAGAATATATTTATATTTAATGTTAAGTTATACTTAAAATAGATTGTATAACGATATACATTGACTAGGCATTATAACATAAGCAATAATCTCAGAGATTACATTGTAGTTCATTATTTAAATTATGAATTGGAAATTCCTTATGGCAACAAGAAACGCTAAGTATATAATAAGTAGTAAAATAAACCTAGTAACAAATAAGGAAATACGTAAGCACAACACATGATTGATACAATAATAACAGTTAAATGCGGCATTTACCAATAACCATATTCAAATAAATATATTACAAGTTTTCAATATAATTTGATTCATTTCTAGCGTAATATGCTACCGCCATCTATAATGTAGGACGAGCCAGTAATACTCTTTGCTTTGTCACTGGCCAAAAACGCAATCAAAGCGGCAACTTCATCGCCTTCCACTGCTTTCTTCAGAGGCATGTTACCAACCACATTGGCAACAAACAAAGCCAGTTGTTCCTCACTCAATCCAATGTCTTTCAGCAGGTTAGTTTTCACAAATCCTGGGTTCACTGAGTTGACCCGAACGCCATCTGGTGCTAACTCTAACGCAACACATTTCGTGAAGTGATCTAATGCGGCCTTCGATATGTTGTACGCTAAGGCCATCGTACTGGGCTTTGAACTTGAAATGCAGGAAGTGTTTACAATACAACCCTTGCTCTGAATGAGATGCGGTGTCGCTAGCATTGTCAAATGGTACACAGATCTCATGTTTGTGTTCATAACTTTGTCGTAAGTTTCCATAGATGAGTTCTTAATGCCTCCCATTCCGATAACTCCGGCGTTGTTCACTAAAACGTCTAGTTTTCCATAGTGTTCTATTGTTTCATTTATTATTCTTTCAGCGTTAAGTTCTTCTGTAACGTCGGCAATGATAGCAAGAGGTTTTATACCTTTAGTTTTCTCGCAGTATAGGGCTATTCTTCTGAGGTTTGTTTCTTTGCGGCCAACTAAGGCGAGTTTCGCTGATAGTTTTGATAAATAAATGGCTGTCGCTGCTCCAAGGCCGGAACTGGCCCCGGTAATTAGGAACACTTTGTCGCTAAAGTCCATATTGTTCAATTTGTTTGGATTGTGTTTATTAACTCAAGGCCGAACAGCTGTTTGAGTACGCGAACAAGCGTCGAGTTGACGCGCTTGCGTAAACCAAACTGATATGGAATGTTGCTAGTAGGTATTTTATGAATACCTACTACTTATGGAAGTATTCAGAGGTTTAGATAATTTTGTCGTGAATAAGAATTTAGTAGGTGTGACGGATCAATGGCGCAGTGTCTCTGCTTACTAGGAATTAAAATATTTATACACATCGCAAAATATGTATCTTTGTTGATTTTGTTTAAGTATAATAACTGTGATATTTAACACACGTAAGACAGGATACATGTAGATACCTACAACAGATACAAGCACAACTTCCCCAGTAGAATTTAGGTTCATGTAGGATTAAACGTTAGTTACTTAATTAGGCAAATGATCACGCCTTTTCTTGAACATTTTAATATTAGATATGAATAAAAGACATCCTCTATTTTACAGGTAATGCCATACTTAGGGCTACTTTTTCAAGGAACAAAAGATTGAAGATTCTTGATCTCGTGATACAAAACCAAATTATTGTGCTAATACCGAAATAGTAGAATTATCCATAAGCGGGCAACACTAATGTAAACTGACAGCCAACCGCGCAGGCGCAGATTGAACACCGCCGACACCACGTGATCACGTGATTCTGATGTAAATAAATCGCGGTTTTGTCCTCTCCATGTTTGTGCACCTCTATTCAATATGAATGACGACGTTGATATTTTGGTTACTATAGATAATTATTTAGTTATTAGCATTTTAAGTATTTTATCAATTGGACTATAATTAACAAAGACAGGTAAGAATTAAGTAAAATTACAGTATCGAACTATAACTATAGGTACTATTTTATTAATTTTTTTTTTATTGCCTATGCCGGTAAACGAGCAGACTGATCACGTGATGGTAAGCAATCGGCGTCGCCTATGGGCACCCGAAACACCAAGTGCGTTACCGGCCTTTTGGGAATTGGGAATTTGAAGATTGTGCAAGATTCGGGGATTCGGGAGACGGGGACTAGGGAGGGGGGCAATTGGGCCTCCGGTAACCTCACTCACACGACGAAACACAACGCAAGCGTTGTTTCACGTCTATTTTCTGTGAGGCCGTGGTATCACTTCGGTCGTGCCGAAGCATGGCTCTCCCACACTTGTATTCTTTATATTTTTATTAACATTTACCACACAAATAGCAGACGTTTAATCCTTACAGGTATCTATTCAATTAGGTACATTTCAAGAAGTGACTAGGTACAAAATAAGACAAAATTATATAGGTCCACATTACGGGTAACGTAGTAGACAGTTAAAAAGTGGGCAAAAAGCAAAGTAGCAAAGAAGCCTACATAGAAATGGAAAGGAAGCATAATTATTATTATCTAATAGTTAATTAGATCATAATATGAGGAAAAGGGAGGTCTTTTAAAGAGCATCGCACCGAGTCTTTTAAACGGTAAATATTGTATTACTTTTTTATAAGGCGCTTTATTTATTGTGTGTCGTGTGCGTTTATACGCAGCTTGTTACCGAGAGAACACCTAATAATGTTGTACATATTTTAATAATTTTAACCAAAAATACGTAGGTAGTAACATAACATCACGCCGTCATATTTTTATCTCCGAAGGGGTAGACAGATTGGCACATTACGGCACTTAATGCCACTGTACAATGTAACAGTAACACCCACTTTTCACTATTTATGTTATGAGTCCATCCCATATAATAGGGGGTGAGCCTATTCCCATATACCGGACACAATTCTAGACTCCGTGCTACCACTGCGGATTTTTTTTAAAAACCTAGTAATACTTTGCTCGGCTCGATCGAACCGAGATCCCTTGTCCGGCAGTCGCACTTGCGACCACTCGGCCAACCTAGGTAATATTTAGTCTTTATTATTTTCTTATCTGTCTACTATACAAGGCTACACTTACAATTCCCCTTACTGTACTCGCAGGACCTCCACGAAGGATATTTCCCCAACTAATCCAGGTTCCTATTGATACATAAATTCATGTTGTCATTTATCGTGAATAACGGATTGGCTCGTGTGCTTGCCCCCACGAGGTTGACCTCAGTTGACATAATGATTTACAGAAACTAAACTATCGGCTACAAACGTGACCGCGGCTGTATGCAAAATTAAATGTTGTTCTATTGTTTATGTCGTTTTTTTATTTTAAAATCGTTGTTCCGGTATTTTGTATTTGGAACAAGCTGTAGCTAATATATTGCTTACATTGAGAGTATTTTTTATTTCATAGTTAAGAATTGTCTGTTTGAAGTGATGTCATAAACATTTGTTCGTAAGATCACAATCACATATCAATCTTTTGATAAAATTCTGGTTACTTGTAAGTTTTGTTATTATCTTCTAAATCTATTTGCGAGTAAAGCAAACATGTATCTATAAAGACGTATTTATTTATTAGTCCCCTACTAAATTCAGCAAACCAAATCTGTTGACCACTATGTTAATATCTTATCTAGATACATAGTCCGTCCTTAAATACTGCCTATGTTTACCTATTTATGAAGCTAGTAGCCTAGGAAAAACAATTTAAACGTGCATTAAATGTAGAAACTAAATCATGCGATATCCGTTTCTGGGCCAAGCCATTCGTCTTAGGACCACATTTACATATAAAACATTCCAATATATCAATTCGGCCTCGAAATGCAATTTGTGAATGGTGGCCATAAATAACTATTTTCTATTTGACACACGGCGACCCTTCGTTTAGGTTGGCAATACCGTGGTCTGTTTTCCCGCCATTATTTGACAGATGTGTTCCGTTCGCTTGGTAACCGTAAAGGATTTTTCAAGCGGCTCCAAAATCAAATCAAGTGTGAAATTCAATTGGACGCCCATAAATATTGTTCCTTTGAAAAATGTTGCATTGGTTGGGATTCTATGTAGTTTCTGAAGTGAGAAATGTTTTTTGTTATATTTCCGTCACTATATTTTCAATAAAGTATTTAAGTAATGCTACTGCCTACACAGTATCCATTCTCATTCACACTTTTTTATACCTATATAACTACTACGAAAATTAATGTCGCGAATTCTTTTAAGGACTTACGTAAATATGATTGTGATACAAAATGAAACGCTCTAATATTTTCAACCCAAAATGCTATTCATTCTTTTAAACACAGGTAAATAAAAAATCTATCACCCTATTTTGTCCAAATGGGCTCAATCTCTCAACGGATTGACAGCGATAGATCGTTGCAGGCAGACTTTACTTCAAGTCGCGGCGTTTGTATAAAACATTCAGCTTAATGTGGCTTCGCAAAGCATGGCGCAGTTAGTGGGATGTATAGCATGGTCCCACTGATGTATAGTGTAATCAGAAAATTGCCGGCCAATGTAAGTGCGGATATAAGGATATTATAGAAAATGTTTCGCATGTTAATTGTTACGAACATTAAAGAGGGAAGCTGAATGGTTCTTGTGTAATGGTAGTTGAGTGTGTACTTGTTGCTTTCATTAAATTAAATAATGTTAACAAATGAAGAAATCTTTTTTTACATAATTTTAGTACGTATACAAATTTTTGTCCAAAATTAATGAATATGTAACGCATGTAAATATACTATTTTACGTATTTTTACAGTTAAATTATAAAAATCTTTTAATCTTTTTAAAACTTAAGTTACGTTAGATAACACTCCTTTCTATATTTTTAGGTAACTACAAACATACCTACCTAAGTAGTGCCTATTATTTGTTTAATTGCCAACAGTTAAGAAACACGTAAATTGTAAAAGGTATTTCTTAAATTCGAAATTGTCGAGTCGAGGGTCCTTAAATTAAATGTAAATAATATACAATTTGTAATTAAAACAGAGCGCCAGAGAATTTTTCTCAATTCCGCCGCGATCCAATAAAGAAATGCAAATTAGGTGCGGCCAAGAGTTATTACTTTGTAGTGATGGGGCCGCTCGATAACGTTTATGTCGATAGTCTGTTTTTTGCTGTCTGTCAAGTATAGGTAGCTGATTCAGGGGTGATTTGACATCGAGTATGGAGATTAATTTTAGTGAGTAAAATACAAAGTTATGTGTAGGTATACATATACCCGACAATATACTGGCAATTACAACATTACTTATTCTGCTAAAAATGTAAAGATAAAATTGTTTGTCGAATTGAGTAGATATCTAGTATATTTTTTAGTAATACATATTTATTTTAAAATCAAATTATATTCAACATTACTTCCAATTTACACGTTTTACATTCATCTGTGACGGTTAAACTCATAAAATTTTTCATTCATTTATGAACAAATATCATTTTCCATGACAAAGGTAAACAAAAATCGATGTGTTTTCACCACATCACTAAACTAAACCCCCGGTGTCGATTGTAAAAAAGTTTTTACAGCTAATTCGGGTTGCTCCAACACTAATTCTACACTTTACGGCCACGCACAGACATTGTCAATCTATCCGCAAATGAACAGCCATCAAGCAGCCATCTTTGTTTTACTGTCAAACTGTTTATGGCTTTTGATTAGCTTTTTATTTGCTTACAAGATTTGTTTTTAAAGTTAATTCTGGCAAAGGACGTCCTGAGGGGCCAGGAGAATAGGTTTAGAAAATGTTTCTGACATTACAAATCTATGCCTGGTATGTAAGTTGTAATTGTAATAGAATAATTATTATGCGGCAATACTTTGCGCAGAAACTAAAAAAAAAAAAATTACGTCTGTGATTTCGAACCTACCTAAAGGCAAGTTGTGACTTAAATATTATTTTACATCCTTATCTATATTTTTTGGAGGTTTCTGGTTCTTATTAGGATAAGTAAGTACTTTGAGCAAACCTTTAATTTAAATATGTTATCTCGATATAATAAACGAAAACATAAAAATACTACTAAAACACTTACTACAAAAGCAATTTAGATTTAACACATATATTTTTCACATAAAAAAACAATTGACAACTGCAAAAAGTTTGGAGATGCCGGGGATCGAACCCGGGGCCTTTCACATGCAAAGCGAACGCTCTACCACTGAGCTACATCCCCATGAGATCCGATGTTTAAATATGGCCTTCCAATAAC